TGCGTGATGCCCTGGTTTCAGTGCTTAGCACTGCTCTAATAATAATCATGGTGATTATGATAATAACTTTTAATTGATAACTTTTCATATGCTGAGAATTCGAGTGCATTTCCATGTATATACATGGAATCCTCAGATTGACTTTTTAAAAACAATGGAATGTTTTCCCTTTCTTCACAGGTAAAGAAACAGATTCATGAAGGCTAAATGGTTGTTCAACATCACTCTGCTTCCTCTGCCTTCTCTTCATAGGCATTGAAGAAGAACAGACAGAAGATAGCTTTTGTAAAATGTCCTGGCTAGACATAATGACACCTAATTTAAGGTGCTTTGAATACAGAGGGCAAACAGAATTCTCTTTACACTCTTCTGTACATTTTTTTGGCATCAATCAAGCAAGTTCTGCTAACTTTTTGGTGCCCCCTTGTGGACTACACTGGAGTTATCTAACCTAACATTCTTTTTCTTTTTCTTTTTTCTCTCTCATTGAGTTTATTGGTACATTTTAGGTATGCAGTAGAGTTACATTCATCATTGGGATCCTGTACCTTTACATGACAGGTCTTGATTCTCATTTTTCCCCTTATCCCTCCCCTCCCTTCACCCTCTCCTCTCCTCCCCATTTACAAACACTACATTTCCATTTTTTCTTTTTCTCATATTTTTTTCTTTTCCCTTATTTCTTTTGCCTACCCTTCCCACTTGCCCTACTCCTGTAGCCCTTTTCTTCCCATTTAACGTTGTCAATTATCTCATTAGGATCTTATGTACCATTATAGTTTTTCACACCTGAGAAACTATTCGGTATTTACACATGTGTGACTTATTTACTTCACTTAGGAGTATATCCTCAATATGTATCCATTGTCCTATGAATGACTCTAATTTATCATTCTTTAGGGCTGAGAAGTATTCCATTTTATAGAAAAAACACATCTTCTTTATCCAGTCTCCAACGGATGGGCAAATGGGCAGTTTCCAAGTTTTAGCTATTACAAACTGTGCCGCTACAAACATATATCACTGTGATATGATTCTTTTAGTTCTTTTGGAAAGATACCCAGCAGAGGGATGGCTGGGTCAAATGGAACCTCTAGTCCCAGGTCTTTGAGGTATTTCCTAATTGATTTCCATAGTGGTTGCACCAGTCTTCACTCCCACCAACAATGGAGAAGGGTTCCTTTCTCCCCTCAACCCCATCAACACTTATTGTTTGCTTTCTTGATAGCAGCCATTCTTTGTTGGGTGAGGTGAAATCTCAGAGTTGTTTTCATCTGCATCTCTCGAATGACTAGTGATGTGGAACATTCTTTCATATATTTACTTGCTGCTTTTACTTCTTTGTCTGAGAAATGTCTGTTCATTTCAGATGCCCATTTTTGAATTGGATCTTTATATTTGGGGGGACTGATATTTTTGAGTTCTTTATATATTCTAGATAAGAGTCCTTTGTCTGAGGAGCAACTGTTACAAATTTTTTCCCACCTAACATTGTTTTTCTACCATCACATCTTACTTTCTTATGCTAGGAGTCAGAAAACATTTTTATCTATCCTCTCTGCAACTTCTCACTTCTTAGTTAATTTATATCTCAGGGCTCTCTCATACGCAGCATCTTGAATTTTCCTTCATTATTTCCCATTTTTTACCAATTCTCATACTTAAGAAATTATATTTCCTTGCTCTTTTTTTGTCAGCAGGAGCTTCTATCACAAGGAGTTTAAATTCTATTGGAAATCAGAGTTTAATGCTTTTCTGCCTCTACTGTTCTTATTCAGTGCTATATTTCTTTCTCTGTTACTGCATGCCTGAAAGGCTCTATAGAAGCCTTAGTAGTGTGCAGAGGATTAGGTGAAATTCTTGAAATTCTTTGAAGGAGGAATTTGGAAAGGTTTGGAGTTGCAGGCTAGAAAAGTTCTAGAATGCTGTAAACAGAGTATGATGGGTAATTCTGGTTAAAGTTCGGCAGACCAGAATGCTGATAGGAATACAAAAATAAAGACCAGGTTCAAGACGTTTCAGTAGGGAACAAGGACTAGCAGTTAAACTAGTGATAATATATGTTCTACCCTGGCAGAAAAATGTTTCTATATTTTGCATATTATTTCTTAAGAATCCAAGAGACTGAGATTAAGAATGGTGGATTAATTTATCCAGCAGAGGAAATCTCAAGACAGTCCAAAGTTTAGTTTATGGCATGTGCACTTCTTGCTACCTTTAGCAAGATTCATAGTTAAAATTGGAGGCAAAAGGCAGATCATAAAAATTTGAAAGTATTAAATGTTAGCCCAGAAGAAACCGTACGTAAATTTGGGACCAAAAGTGGTGTGAGTGCTGAGGTGATTAGCACCTATAAGATGATACCAAGTACTTTCTACAAGGATAAGAAAAAAAGATGCTTTGAGGTCGTCTCAGAAATCAGTACAAGCTCACCCATTTTAGGATCAAGAGTGTAAAAGTCTAAACTTTTCATTTGAGAGAAGAGTACCTGTGACACTTGCTCAAGAAAACCCTCATAAGGAATTTGTTCATTAGAATTCATTTCACTCTGCTCAGCCATCCAGAAACTTAGAGACAACTGCTGGCAAGGTCCAAGGAGTTCTAGGTACTGCACACTCAGCAGACCTTGGTATTGTCCATGTGATGCTGGTTTACGAGTTGGCAGAATGCAAGCATTGTAGGGTCACACAGGCTTCCACTCAGATTTCAAAAGAAGACCTGGTAGTCTAGGCAAGGAATCCCTGAGAGTGCAATGTGTGAAGCCTTGAGAATGAAGCAGAAGGTGCCGTGGAGACCTTAGGAAGTTGAGATGGTGGATTGATGCTGAAGAAATATGTAGTCCATGAATGGAAGTAGACCAAAAGAGAAGCTATATGGTCTTTAATGATAAAGCCATAGAGTTGGGGGGGGTGTCTGCCTAACCCTTTTGGAAGTCACACTTTATCAATTGTGTGCTCCAGAAGATGGATATAGAGCTACTGAACTTAATGTTTCCTGTTATGGATTTCATTTGGTCTTGCTTTGGTCTGATATGATTGTTTTCTATCCCCCTATTCCTCCTTTTTGAAATGGGAATATTTACCCAGTGCCACTGCACCTTGGGATTAAGTGACCTGTTTTGATTTTTATAGATGTGCACAGCTAAGAGTTTGAGTTGAGTCTCAAAGGAAACTTGGACTTAGGCATTTAAAAAGTCTTGGAACTGTTGACATTTAGGTGGAATGAATTGTGTTTCCAGCTATAAATGGTTTAGTTGTATTATAATGGACAGAATTATGAACTTGCTATTATCTCTATTTGAAGATTGATTATGCTTTAAGCAGATATGTTTGAGTATGAAGTTAACAAGTTTTGAGATGTGGCAGTTAGGGGGGAGTGTCAACTTGATTAATATTGGGATTTGCCTGGGGAATTGGTGCAACACATTTCTAGAGGGTCATGGAGGCCTGACATTGGGGTCTGTGTCTGGTCTCTTTCCCGTTTCTCTGGCACTCTTCTCTGGCTCTGCTTACTGGTTGCCATGAACAAAATAGCTTTGCTCCCTCATGCCCTTCTGTCATATTTTTGCCTTGGAGCCAAGTGATCATGGACTGAATCACTTAAAATTATAATCCAAATTAAACATATCCTCCCTGAAGTTGTGAGTGCCAGGTATCATATATCAGTGATATGAAAGATAATATTACTAATATAAAATTCAAATCGGTGTTATCTGATACATTTTGCTGATTCCACATTTAGTTGGCTCAGAGCTCAAACTCATAGGAATGTACCTAGTAAAACCTCTGAAACATAATGAGTATGCAATACATGTTTGGTGAGTGAATAGACAAATGTTAAAACAGATCTATTTATACCTGAATCAAGACAAAGAAAAGTAATGAATTTGGAATTAAATGGGAGATATAATACTTAAAATGTCAAAATTCTGGAAACTCTCAAAGTGTCTCAGAAGTTTTCCTCTTATTTTACATGGAAGTGTTTTGTGTCGCTGTTCTTTAATAAAGAATGTTTTTAGTTCCAGATGTTCAAGGAATGAAAGAATCATGTTGGTGTTCATTTTTTCATGTTTCTATAATATGATTTAAAACACTTTCTGATTGTGCATTCATAGTACATTAACCGCATTATATCTAAAATGGTTATTGTGATATGATCTTTAAAATTAATACTTCTATGGGTAAATGCAATTGACTACCAAATAAGTAAGATCTGCAGTCTGACTATCTTTTGAAATGCAACCAGGTCATTGGTGTGGGAACTGACTGTAACTGACTGGTGGAAAATTAGCATAATCAGAAATCAGAGAAATCAAGTTTTAACCAAGTGTGAGTTTGGATTCTTTATCCTATATTTTCCTGTCTAGACATATTAGAATGTAAATAGATTAAAGGGAATCTAACTAAATCGGAAAACTTCATAAGTGTTTCTAGACTATGAAACATTTCTAGACATAGAGAATGATTATGATGGCACAAGGCAGTTTAATGAGGCTACCAAATCCCCACTTTTATAAAAGGAACAGATATCTAAAGAAGAGAGTAGGACTTTTTATGAAGTTCATCTGGCTTGTAGATTTAAGAGAGACAGATGAAATGCTTCTCTGGAGAGGCTTGGATCCAAAGTGTAAGCATGTTTACTGGGTTAAATAGCCATACAGATGTTTAGACATTCTTAGGGCAAGAACTAGAGAGAAAAGGAAGGATTCTGGAAACCATGTAGCTATGTTGATATGCCTATGGATGTGGGGATGTCTAAAGAGGTTAGAAAGAACAGACCCACCTGCATGCACAGTCTTGAGGAAATGGCTACACAAATTAGGGCCATTTTAATGGATAGAATAAATCAGATTATTTCAGTGATTTCTCTGCATCTAGTACGTCCTGTAAAACTATGCTGATAGAGCACACCTAGGTGTAACCAAGCATAAGTGAAAGACTTATGAACTCAATCGGTTAGACATTGTTCTGAAAGTTATGTTTCCCTTTTATCTCTTCCAGATATGGATCAACTCTTAAACAACTTAGAGGTCCAATTTAATGCAGAAGCTTGCTCAATGGAAGCTTTCAAACAGGTCAGTTGTCAGAAAATGAGGTACAAATATTGAAGTATAATAGTGTTGTGTACTTGGAAATTATTGCAGAGATAAAGCTTATTTTTTACTGATGTATTTTAGGATTGAGAATGGATGAAGGAAATTAGATAACCAGGAAGTATCTGAGTGCCTGATTTTCAAATTCAACTAGAGAGTAAATCTGGCCTAAAAGAAATAGCCTCTAGGATCAAGGGTATAGAGACAATATTAGACTGTTGGAAGACAGCAACAGCTATTTATCTAGCAATATTCCATACTTCAGGTACTATAAAGATTGTCTTATTTAATGCATTGTCTTATTTAATCTCCACAATAAATTTGTTGAACAGTGTATTTATTATTTGGATTCTCCAGGGGAAACAGCTGAGATGCATATGTACACATGACTATATCTATTTTTCTATATGTATATATAGCTATCAAATATATATCTCTATCTATCTATCTATAGATACACATAGAGAGAGATTTTATAAAATTGGGTTACTTGATTAGGGAAGCATGCCAAGTCCAAAATCTGATGAAGTGGTCCAGCACACTGGACACTCAGGAGCAGCAGCAGTTTTACTCCAAAAAGTAGAATACTAGTAGAATTCTTTCTTGCACTAATATGTCAGGCTTAATTTTATTAAAAACTTTAACCAGGACTGGGGATTTAGCACAGAAGTGCTGCTGCCCGCCTTGCAAGCACAAGGTCCTGCCTGATTTGCAAGTACAAGTTCCCAAGTTTGATCCCCAGTACAAAAAAAAAAAAAACAAAACACAAACAACAATAACAACAACAAAACAAAAGCAAAACTAAACTAAAAAAAACCCTTTAACCTATTGTTTGAAGATCGTACATATTATGAAATTACAATTCTTTACTTAAAGTCCAGTGATTTAAATGTTAGTCTCATCTCTCCCAAAAGTACCCAGGAATAAACCCCACAAACAGACACACAGAGGGTAGGGGAGGGAAGCAGGATGATGGATCAAAAGAGTGAGGGAGAAAAAATTAAAAAAGAAACAGAGAGGGAGGGAGAGAGAAATATCCAGAATAATTTTAACCACATATCTAGCACTGTAGCTGAGCTGAATTGTAACATAAAATTAATCATTGCTATTCTCAAGTATTCCCATTTTATTTGAAAGGAACTGGTTTGAGCAATATGAACAAGCATTTAAAACAGATTATTTGGCTTACAGAGCAAATAAATCTATGCTGGATATTAAAGTGTTGCCTTGTTCAGTCTTTAGTGAAACACAAAAATAGCCAAATTTCCCCAGAAAATCCTTAAAATGCTTATAAATTTGAGTATCCAGCTTTATATATATAGCACTTACCTGTTCTTTTACATATTTACAGATAAAATATCTCATTTACAGTTGGGAGTCATTCTGTATTTTAATTGTTTTTGGTCACTAAGTATTTGACCCATGATGTATAATTGAATTTAAATTGCATGTGTACAATTAATAAGACTCTTTTCTAATGTTTTAATGATATTAAAATCAATTTGATGTCTTGTTTAACTTATGTATAGTTGTTTCCACTTAGAAACTATTTACACAGTAAAACTTGCTAGCTGTTGCAAAAGGTGTACTGTTTGCTGGAGCATAGTCATAGTCTACATCAAGAAGAAGCCGAGTTTACGTAGTGAGTATTACACAAAAATCTATTGTATGTGTAGTAGAAATAGTCAATGACATGTTATCAAGCATACATAGCTACTTGGTTTTGTAATCTCTGAGTGTACTTAAGTACATGTATAATTCTAGAAATGTTTTCCCATATATTATTGACGTGTACCAAGTTTCCAGAAGCTGAATTCACTTTGTAATTATTTATGTGTAGAAAAATTATTTACAGCAGATAATCTAAGTGAGTTTTTTCATTTCTTACTATTTCTAGGATTTCTGCATTTACTAAAGTTAGGGTGGGTATAGTACATGGCCACAGAACACTGGTTATGTCTCAGGGGAGTTTGTGTTCTACAACCACTCAATATTGGCATCATTCCACAGTGAAAAAGCTTCCTGGTTTATTTTGTTTTGTAATTTGTTAATATCACAAGTTAGGATTGGTAGGTGAGTGGCTATCTTTCTCAGGACACACATAAAGCTCACCCTTCTCTGAATTGCTATCTCACTGATATAGGGCACCAAATAATCCTAATAATGAAAATATTGTAACTTCCAATGTGCTAGATATTCCAAAATGTGAGTTCATGTTCTGTGAAAACAAAGAATGAATTTTAGGAACAACGGAGGCTAAAAGTAGAAAAAAATTATTGAGAGAAAGATAGCTTGTGTCCAAGAGAGACAGAATGAGGACCAGAAAGAAGTGGCTTGCCCACCCACCTTGCCTCTTTTATGGGGCAAAGCCAAGAGGTGAGGCAGGTACAAAGTGGGACAAAACTGTAAGATACATTGAAAAATCACAAGGTGAGCATGAGATGGTGAGAGGATGGGAATTGAGCTGGGGACAAGAACACCTGAAAGGAGGCTTTTATTAGGGAGATGGGGTCTAGAGGATGAGGTACTGGGGCTGTCTCAGACAGTGGCGAGAGCAGTGGGGCAGGGACTGGCTGGGTGAGGTTCTATCTGGGCAAGCGGTCATGGGGGTGCATAGTGGAGGTAGATCTCTGGCTGCAGCCAGAGGTGAGGTTTAAATCTCTTGGCAAATTTAAATTTCCCAGTGGGCAGGACTAGAAGTGGGAGAGCTTTGTGGCAGGAAAGTTGGGTCTTTGTTTCTCTGGATTGATTTATTATCTGCTGGGAAGCCATTTAGGGTGTGGGGTCAGGGCCATTTTATCTAGCAGGGTACTCTCTCAGGTGGACCAAAATCATGATCAAACAAGATTACAAGTATACTTGCCCAGCTAATATTAATTAAATGAAGATCAAATGGGGAATCTAGTTACCTAGGAAGCATACATAGATTTCCCAAAAGCAATGTGCTAGCTAGGGATGGTTTGGTCCCCAATTAAGGTGATTGATGTCTATTTAGAATATCAATCAGTGTTATTCATCCCTAGGGGAGTAGGTGGGCATAATAATTTCTTTTTCTTTATAATGTTAACCTTCAGTGAATGTGCCTCAGTTGTTTTCAATGCTTAGGGCCCAGAATTGTCTAACTGCCTTATAATTTCCAGCTAATAAGTGGTCTGCATTATTTCCCCCTCAAACCAGGGATTTAGCTCAGTAGTTCCACCACCTGCCTTGCAAGTGCAAAGTCCCAAGTTAGATCCCTAGTACCAAAAAAATTAATATACCCCCTTCTGATGAATTATACCTGACTGTGGTTAGGGGAGAAAGGGCATAATTTTTATCATCTAATGGCTTTGAGCTAAGAAAGGTCAATATGGGAGAGACAACAGTTATGGGCTCCCTTCGGAGAGCTAATTTAATGGGCCTCAGAGAGAAATTATATTGTAGTTTAGCAGTTATAACTTTCTTTACAAGGTTGATCTATTGGATTCTAGTAAAAGGTGTCTAGCACATTTGTCACTGATTCCATTCTGTAAGACTGCTTGGGGTTTGGGAACCTCTAGGCAAAAATAAACAAATTTTTAAAGAAATTGGAGCATATGTCGTATAAGTATGAGCCCTAGCATGAACAGTCAGATTAGGGAAAGCCATGGTTAGAAACTGAAATAGTGATTGTCACCTCTTGGCTCTTAGGCTCTTTTACTGATGGAGGTTATCTGTAAGTCTCATATTTTGTTATAAGTCTCTCTAGTTATACCTGTAAGAAGATAGAGACAATTTGAAGGACAATTTAACTAAAACTTTTTAAAACTTCTGTTTAGCTCTTATACATTTTGTACTTTACCAGTGTAGTTAGAAATTGCCAGAAGGGGTCAGTGATTGGAGTTCCTTTTTATATTTAGCTTTATTATTATGGTCTTGACTTAATATTTTTAATTGTACTTTTTTATTCGGTATTTATAACCAAGTTAAAGTGACATTTGTATCAATTAAATTCACTTTTTGCTGTCTGTCAAGGTCAGTTAAGTCTCCTCAGTCATTCCTTTGGAACCACGTATAGAGCCACTCAGCAATTCTGTCAGTGTCAGTTATCAGGATAGGTCATAACCTTGCTTGATTATGTTGCTTTCAGTGAAAACATGGGAGACTCTTCCCTCTTGGTGACTCTCCTTTTGCTGATTTTGTCTGACAGCCAGCAATCTCCCTGTTCAGGAAGTTGGGTGACTCACCAAAGATGTAGGATCCTGTGGAAAAGATTCCCTGATGTCTCGAATCCCTCATGTCATTCATTTTTTTTTTCTGGTACCAGAGATCTAACTCAGGACCTGGTGTTTACAGGGCAGGCACTGTGCCACTGAGCTACATCCCCAGCCTTCATTCATTGATCTTTAAGAGCCAGGATGTTGGCTGTCCTCTTAGCCAAGTTATCTTTCTAGTTCTGGTCTCTAGGCTTTAGTTGTTAAATACCCAGAAGAGAAGATCAGTGATATTATTGTAAAGGAAGCAATAAGCTTAATTATTATAATTTCATTTGGAAATTAAGCAACTTTGAAATATAAAGTACAGTTAGAGGACTGAATTTTTTTAAAAAAATCCACTATGGTATTTTAGACATTGAATCCCTGTAGACTGTTAACAGATAACAGTTATATATTATATAGTGAAATGAGATCAAGAGCCACACAGAATTTTAGCATGACAATTATGATGACATTATCTTTGCAAAAGAGTTAAATATCCATCTTAGTATTGAGTAGTCTTTTAGTCAAACACCTCCTGACCACAAGACAATAAATGACACAAAGGAAACTCTCATTTAATTTGTTACTGTTTAATAGGATGCTGTCAAAAGAGAACATACATATTGGCCTACAAATGTAACTTAGAAGTTTATAATGTCTAGCCTCTAATTTTAGTGTATGACATCATTTGGACTATTCGATGACTGAGCATCTAAGAGTGGTGACACATATAACTTATATAAAAACTATTATTTAACCAGTGAT